CAGAGTTAGCATGACGCACCCTTAGGGCATGTTATGTGTAGCGAAACTAATGCTCCTGATGCAGACCCCGGATCGAGCTTCCAACCCTTCAACTAAAGACGCTAATCGGTTCCGCGAAGGTGAACGCGAAAGACACGCGCATGAAAACAATGGGAGTCCATCATTCACACGGTTCATAGGAAGAGCCGTTAAACTCACCCTCAGTTTGGGACAAAAAGGGGAAAACCTACCGGAAAGCGCGTTTTGCAAGAAGCAGTCCAATCCCGGTCTCAAGTCATTGTTTGGCATACACGTGTGTCGTTAAGAATGCTGCATTGTCGCGACCACTGGGTTGACCGAGACATGGTTGCGCCACGCAGACGGGCTTGTCCTCCCACGATATACGTTATTACCGAGTGTTGTTAGGATGGCGAGTGTTGTTAGGATCGCATGCACACCTGGTCAGCGCACAGCACCTGACGGTGTGCTCACCGCTCCTAAGGAGGCTTCTACGAAGTGTGGTTTAATGAGAGAGCTGACGGAGCTCGAGCTTGAGAACTGCTACCGACGGAGGTCCGCCGATACACGGGCTGACATGGGAGAGTGTGTGACACGCAGAAAACCTATCCGTTCGCGTGTTGTATATGGTGACGTGATTGTTTTCAATGCCGCGTCTATCATGAAAGTGTTCATGCAATTGGCTGTGATGATGCGAGCCCCCACATGTGATTGGCTTGTGTGGAGGGCCGTTGTTTGACCGAGGGTCCAAAAGAGGGTATTTGGATGTGAAAAAGAACGGAGGTTCAGGCTCGCACTCGGACAGACGCCTGAGTGCTGCAATAAAGCGTCGCTTCACCGTACAATGTTTTTTTTTTTCTTTCTCGCTACCACTGAGCACTCCAGAGATCAAGGGGCATAAATTCCGAACCTCAACACTTTCCCTGCTTAGCTAGTGTAGAAACTAGCCGAGGAGTAGGAAATTAACTAGCAGCAAGACCGTTATATGTAAATCATCACATTCATAACACACATTCTATAATTTTTATGTTTTGACTAGTCATTTATGTTCGTTATGCAGAAAAGATATGCCATACCAGTCTTGGTTTAGATCCCATAGCTAAATGTCGTAGGTGGTTATATAGATAGATGGATAGATATATAGATAGATAGATAGATAGAGAGATAGATAGATATATGATAGATAGCCATCTTACCTCCTCTAACTAATTCCATTTTCATCAGCCTGCCTACGTCTACTGCAGGACAAAGGCCTCTCCCATGTTCCGCCAGTCAACTCGGTTTTATGCTTGCCGGTACCATTATACCCGCAAACTTCTTAATCTCATCTGCCCACTTAACTTTCTGTGTCCCCCTAACTCACTTGCAGTCTCTGGGATGCCGGTTAGTTACCCTTAATGACCAGCGGTTATCCTGTCTACACGCTACATGCCCGGCCCATGTCTGTTTCATCTTCTTTATTTTAACTACGATATCCGTAACCAACAACAAACCAGTCTGCTCTCCTCTGGTCTGTTAAGCTTACACCTACCTTTTACTTTTCCATTGCTCGCTGCGTCATCCTCAATTTTACTGGCACGTGTGAAGCGTCGAACTAATTTAGGTTTACCAAAAGAAAGTGATCATGAGAGCGTCCAAACGTAGGGAAATAGATAGATAGATAGATAGAGAGATGGATAGATAGATATAGAGATAGATAGACAAATAGAGAGATAACCATGTTACCGTACCATGCTAATTATGGTTTAACATAGGTAAAGAGGTGATCACGAGAGGATCAAGACATAGACAGCTAAATAGATAGATAGATAGATAGATAGATAGATAGATAGATAGATAGATAGATAACTAAGTTACCGTACCAAGCTAATTATGGTTTACCATAGGTAAAAGAGAGACCACGAGAGGACCCAGAATTAGACAGCTAAATAGATAGATAGATAGATAGATAGATAGATAGATAGATAGATAGATAGATAGATAGATAGATTGATAGATTGATAGATAGATAGGTGCTGAAAGGGCCTGCATTGCGTAAAGAATTTCTTGATTTATAATAACTTGCTCAAAATAACTGTTTTCACAGTGGACCTCGGCGAATTTCACCAGCTATTGTCTGTAAAACTTCGATTCCGATCCCCAGCTCGATCGTCGAGGAGAAATATGTCGTGCTAAGGAGACGCGAAAGTTCCACCTGTGATTTCGCGTGCCCTTAACCAATACCTTTTTTTATGGAAACGGTGAGAAATTGTGTAGGCAATAACTGCAGTTGTAAAAAACAAAACGGCTCGTATTTTGTGTGAAAGTCTGCGTTTGTGTGCGCAAAGAAAAGAAGTTTCCGAATGATCATCGCCGTTTGCCTCAACAAAAGATTCTACACACCGGCTGTGTCCACCTCAGCCAGATAAGGCTTTGGAAGCATTGTTGCGTTTCTCGCTGACAAAGCTAATCGTAGGAAAAGACTTTAGAGAGTGCCACAATCGGCGACTTTGAGAGCATCTATCCATCCATCCCCATCTATCTATCTATCTATCTATCTATCTATCTATCTATCTATCTATCTATCTATCTATCTATCTATCTATCTATCTATCTATCTATCTATCTATCTATCTGTCTATCCGTCTGTCTATCCGTCTGTCTATCCGTCTGTCCGTCTGTCCGTCCGTCCGTCCGTCCGTCCGTCCGTCTATCTATCTATCTATCTATCTATCTATCTATCTATCTATCTATCTATCTATCTATCTATCTATCTATCTATCTATCTATCTATCTATCTATCTATCTATCTAGGCATTATATGCATCCGCCTTGTTACGTTCCGCTAATTTCAAAGCGACATATCAACCTTCCTCCTTCGTGCTTCGCATATTATCGATTGCGACTGTACGCCGTATCTGGCAATTTTTTCTGTCTATTTCTTGCTCTTCTATTATTTTCATGACTACTATTTTGTGATGGGCTTTTATCCCGTTGTCTCTTACTACAGCGGGTAGCAAGCCGGACCGAAATCTGACTGACCTCTCTGTCTTCACACTTATTCCTCCCTTATTTTTTTTTTTGCAGAAAGATAAGGCTGCAGCTGCTAAAATATACAAACGTGACCACACCATTCTGCACACCACATCACAATGTTATTTTGTATCTCAACGTTAAGTTTGTCTTCCTCGGCCCATAGAAAGTCTTGTAGCAATTCATTGCCACGAATTATTATGCGGAATATTTTATTGCTGCAATTGACTACGAAATCGCGGTAGCGAAGTTTAGCACGACTCTCGCATAAAGTCACGTACACGACGTCTACCGGACCTTTAGCTGCACGCAATAAGTTGTCGCAGATTGATATATCGGGTTTTAGACACTCCTTCATACTCTATTGTTGTTGCACAGACACTTCGCGCCACCGATACGGCGCATCATCCTTAAACTAGGCGATGCCTTGATTAAAGGCGCTATGGCAGCCAGTTTGTTATCATATTTTTTATGATGTGAAATAATCCTTGACCAGTCGTAAATAAGCTGGCGAATTGTAAGCACGCTACTTATATTTGAATATTTTCAGAAACATGTTTCAGCCAGAGAAGCGGGCAACGCCGGCCCACACGCAAGCCATGACGTAACAATGAGCTGGTGGTGCGAGTGTCCACATTCCGGCGAATCATATTTTATCATGGTCAGAAGCGTATAAAGTCCAGTTGTTGCAACTTTCTTCAGCTTACCACGGATATTAAAGGATTTGTAGCAGCTGAAACTTTGATAGAACATGACAAGTTGGCTCCTTGTTGCACATGACGTCACAGGCATCAGGAAAAAATGGCAGTCACCGGCTTTGGGCGAGATTTCCAGCCGGTACTTTCTAGAGCCTGTTTTGCGCTGATTTTTTTTTCGCGGCCCACTATTTATATTTGCATAGGCTTGATAGACTCTCTTCTCCAAGTTTTTTTCTGAGAGCAAGAAAGCGTTGGCTGACCATCTCGTGGCCTCTTTAAAAGATAAATAACTTACTGAAACAGGTGGTTTGAGACTCACTGTGCATAATCTTCATTCATCGATACCTAAGGTTCTTCACCTCCATCGCTTGTAAGGAGTCATTTCGAGAACAATTTGTGCATGGAATTCGATTACTTCGTCACGTCGTTGGTGCTCATTAGCTTTATTGATAGACTGGTAAAATGCTATGGCACGTTATATAATAACCACAATAAAAAATACCCCGAAACTGAATTTCCTTGAAGTGCACAACCACGTATTGTAACCCATAATGCATAAAATCACTTAGCCAGAAGAACACACTTCTCCTGCCTGTAAATAAAGTACTTTTAGCCGTCCTCTTTTACACATTGTGGTGTGCGCATATCTGGTTAACTGCTGCGTCTCAGACAGTGTTTGCTAACACAACAGGTGGTGCAAACGGCTTAAGGGTGCAGTAAAATGTAAAGCTAGCTAGGATGGAAATGCCTTCAAACTTGTTCATTTGGTGGTAAATTCAAGTGATATCTAAGCACAGCTTACTAAAGGGCTCATATATTTCTATCTGGCGTGTTCTCATCTCAAATTTTGTGCTAAAGCACAAGAGAGACAGCGCGAGCAGCACGTCGCTCACTGGAGCAGCCGTATTATCTTAAAGCGAGCATTTTCCAGTTTTACTAGATGGGATTTCCAAAAAGCTAGTTACTAGGCTGACGTCTTGTTGCCCTGACGTTTGTCGTTATTGCATTCGTTGCATCGTACTTTTGTTAATTCAGAAAGTGAACCTTGTTGATTGCACTGTGCGCATGTTTGCGAGTCAAGTTGAATAAAAAATGTTACAGGTCAATCGTCTGTGGTCGCAAGCAACAACACATTTATATATATCTAGTGATGGATTCACTTGTACTATCACTTCTTTGGCATACCCCATGTAGCGCTATTTTTTATTTGCATTACTCATTGTCACATTTTGTAGCGTGATGAAACGTTTTGATATGAAGGTGTTTGAATCATAATTTCTTTTACCTTTTTAGGGAAGTCTATGTGTGAGATGCAAAACTGGGATGATCACGTTTGGCGAAACGTTCCCTCGTGTCAGATGGCATATCAAAAGTATTGTCCTGGAAGGCAATTCCCCATTTACACCCGTCAGTGCTCACCACCCCGTCATCAGGAGTTCAATTCAAAAGCAAATTTTACACAGTGGCTTTATTAAAAGCAAGTGGAATTTACCAGCATTGTTTACTGACTATTTCTCAGACTATAGTGAGCGACAAGCACGGAAAAATAGGAAGAAGAGGAAAGATGAGGCAGAAACAAACAGTAAGTTGAAAAAAAGAGTGATTAAGTTTAAGCAAGCTGACACTGTTATTGAAACAAATTCAGCATGCGAAGATGGAAATATTTTCTCCGTGTTACAGAGAGTGAGCGCCAACTAACGCAAAATCGCGTCGTGTAAAAGTAGTTTCAGAATAATTTGTCACTCGATAAGCGGTACTGTCCTTTAACTTACGTAAAATAAAGCACTTTTTCAAACTAAGCCAACTGCTCAACCTTCCGCAATGCATGACTACCGAGCCTTCATTGCCTTCCTTGAGACCAAATTCAAGATAATATTTAGATGCGTCAATGTGACGTCTTTACGTCCCTATAATCAGTTGGAATGCAGCGCTTGTCCAGTATGTGTTCTTTTAGTAGCTGTTCTGTTTTGTGCTGCCCAACTTCGGTATGAATGAACAAGTAGCCCAGTCAGCAGTTTTGCTGTAAAATGGAGCGTCTTTCCGTGTACTATTCAAGAAAGGCACGTGTTATTGCCTCGCTAAAATCAAACAACTTCATACTGTGACAGCAGGAGCACATATGAGGGTGTTGGGAGGAAACCATAGACACAAACGCCCCACAGAGCTATCATTATGGAGAGAACCAAGCAGAATTGAAGCTCTATTGACTACTCCATTAACAAGAGAACCCAAACGTATTATGAGTGCCACACCCTCATTATTTCTCTTACCCCTGTTTCAATTCTGCTTTTCAATCGCATTGCGTAATCTGGTAGTAATGAAAGGTTGATATGAAATACGACAAAGGAAGCGTAGCTAAATAAAAAAAAACTCCCAAGCATTTCCCCGAGGGTGCGAATACACGGGGTGATGCTATGAGGGGTATTTATTAATTCGTACTATTATATTTATTAATCACACTATGGTGCCTTTATGGTGTAATGGTTCCTGGGAATCGCAATTTGATCACACGGGGGAGTTTACGTTAACTCACTGGCGAATGCCAACGGATTTTAACTTTACTCCCCCTCACGACCCGCTCTCAACGGGAGACTGAGAGCGAAGGCGGGCGCGCGCAGCTGCAGCGAGCGAGGAGAGCGGAGGAGCGAGCGAAGGGGGTGGGGGTATAAGGCGCGATACTGATACCGATATCAGCGTCGCGTCCGTGGCTTATTCGGTAGAGCGTCGCGCTGCGGCCCGCCAAGTCCTCTTTCTTTTAAAGATAGAGAGAAGACTGCGGACGCCGCCGATGGCGGTGGATGGTTTGGGGTTGCTTATAAAGTGTATTCACACTTAAAGAAGGATTGCGGCAGAGCATTCGCATTGTGGGAATCGATTTAATGTGAAGCAGACGACGAGCAGTTGGCTATGCCGGACTATTTTATTTGAACATTATCATATCAAGTGGTTGCAAGATCTTGCGTACATTTGGAAGTTATGGGCATAGCGAGGTTAACCAGCCATTTGGAAAACACCGGCGTGTAGAGTTAAGCTTGCTGATTAAGACAACGTTGGCACGTTAATTATAGCATGGACTCAGATTGCGGGACATGCTTCTGCAGTACGTGCAGCACAACAGCCACAAGTGGTGTAGTGCGCTTATTCTCAATCTGTTCAGCATGATTGATGCCTAAGTGTTACTTCAGCTCTCTTTCCTGTGGCATCTGCATTGAATTGCCAATGTCTAGAATGTTTTAAAGGCTTAGTTGCAGCTTTGGTGGTTTAACGTAAACCTGTGTCACGAAATGACTGCACCAAAATGAATGTGCAAAACAATTGCAATGTATACATGACAGGCATGCCACGGTAATCACCTGATCTGTCGGAATTTGGTTTTCATGCACTCATGATGAACATCTGCTGGCAGGTAGAACATATGTCGAACACATGCTAATACGCGGAAACATCAAAGTAGGTTGGTTACCACACGCGTACCAAGACGTGGGCGGGTAGACAAACGGACCTACGGAATATGATATGGATAGATGGACAGGTGGATGGACGGCTGGATGGATGAATGAATGGATTGATGGATGGATGGGTAGGTGGACGAATGAATGGGGACATGGATGCATGGAGGAGTGGAGGGACTTGCGCTAATAAGTCAATGGCCATAACTACCGACCACCTCACTGGCCAATGCGAAACAAAAGTCCTGCCCAAATGCTGTGCCACCAAGGATGCGAAGTTCGTTCAAGACACCATTCTGCGTCGTGGCGTCCAAGAGGTTCTTCTCACCGACATAAGCACGAACTTCACAGCAAAGTTTACTCAGGCGATCTTAAGGTGCAGCAAGACAAGCCATCGTTGGACCACCACTTCTACCACTTACGAACCAATGGCATCACCGAGCGTCTAAACCGGACCATCACTGACATGGTGGTCGTATAGGTCTTTGTAGAGCTCGATACAGGCGTTGGCATCTTTCTATACGTAATTTTCGCAATCAACACGGTCATGCTATAAACGACGCAGAAGAGGCCTTACACATCGATCTACTGAAGTAAAAAGACAACGATGTCGACGTTTTGCCTTCCAACGGATGAACACAATGAACATCACGGACGAACGAAACAAATATCACGGACGAACAAAACGTCGACCTTACCGTCTACCTTCAGCGTGCTGTGGAAGCCAGACTACCGGCCCGCTTGCGCATCAAAAACCATCAAAACAAGGACAGCTGTCACTGCAATCTTCGACGAAACCGAATGGCATACAATTCCAGCGACGGTGCTTCGGTGCGGATGGCAATACGCTGACGCGGATATTGCAAGACTCTTCTGCAGCATTACTTCGGACCGTCAATAGTACTTCGGCGTCTGCTGGAATCGGGCTACGAGGTTGTCCCCGACGTCATCGCGAACTCTCAGTAGGGCACGGCACACCACCCTATTACGGTTTGCCTATCTTGTATCTATATTGTGATACATCTCACAAAAATATCTGTATCTGTAATATAGATATGTTCAAATATGGATCGCGCGTCTGAAAGTACAAGATACTGCTCTTACAACACAAGCGGACGAAACAATGACCGCTATCTTAACTCTGTTTTGCAAGCTGCTGGCACACGCGGGTGCCGCTATTCCATCTGAATAGAATGAAGCGCTGTGACACTTTTATCATCCCGACAGAGTCCACCAGTGATGTGAGGCGATAAGGTGTTCGCGTCTATATTGGTGGAACATACCAACATAACAGCGCTCGCGCAGTGTCGCCAGAAACAGATGCGCGAACGTAAGCGTACGCGGGATTGCCACGTGCCTTTTGTTTTCACTGTGTTCTCACTTTTCTGTCAGTGCAGTGACACTTGCTCTTCACCACTCACAAATGGCGCGTACCACAACATGTGCGGCGATGATCATGCAAATTCTGTTGACGTAGATTCTGATGGCGGGATGACGTAGAGGATCCCATATGGACGAATAGCGATCATTACATTCTCAGTGATCACTTTGTTCTCGAGGTTAAGGTGGAGGTTGAGAAAGGCCGCACTCGATAATTTGAGGTTGTTGATTGGGATGTCTTTTACTGAATTAGAATGCAAAGCGAACTAAATGCTGCCAAACCAAGCCTCAAACAGTGGTGCGAATCCATCAGGAATGATATCAAATCAGCCACCAGAAGGCTTCTGACTGACGCTAACGTGGAGGCTATGGATTATAAACTAGCCCACTTAATTGAAGCAAAGCAGGCCATTACTAAAAATTGGTGGACTCAAAGGCTCAATCGTAAACTAAGGAAGAAAGTAGCGTAACTGAATAAACAAATCAAAGTGCACTGCACCAACCTATGTAGGCAACAGTGGGATCAATTTTGTGAAACGATTGATGGGCAGATCAGGAACGGCAAGGCATGGAAACTGATTAAGCACCTTCTAGACGAGCAAGGCGCCAGGTCCAACCAGAGACACTGTCTTGCCCGGGCCATACACATAGCCCTCGAAAATGAAAACATCAAAGCAGTTACTAAACAACTCATAGACGAATACCTACCAGTCGCTAAGGAGCAAGAACAGTTTCCACGATCGTAATACCGGGGAGCCCCTCAGCCAGAGCTGGATTGACCTTTCACTTAATCTGATATGCGAAGGGTGTTGAGTGAGTTAAACAGAAAGTCTGTTCCTGGAACAGATGGTATGACCCACAAGCCACCCAGGAATCTCGGCAAGCCCTCTATAGAATCACTGACTGATTTTATTAACGGAGCATAGAATTCGGGGGAAGTTCTAGATAAATGGAAACTTTCTCAAGTCGTACTAATACCGAAACGAGGTAAACCTCCAAGTCTAGAGAACTTGCGGCCAATATCGCTAACATCATGTGTAGGAAAAGTTGCCGAGCGTGCAATCCTCAACAGGCTTAAGGATTTCTTGGCGGACAACGACATATACACCTCCAATATGTTAGGCTTCAGATCTTCACTATCTATTCATGACGCTTTGAAGCAGATTAGACACCACAATCTAGATGGGTACTCTAGAAATATCAAAGCAGTCCTTGGACTAGACATAGAGAAAGCATTCGACAACATCAGACCCAAATACATCCTTCAAACGATAAAGGAAATTGGACTTCGATCAAAAATGTATAATTACTCAAAATCTTTCTTAGGAGCATGTACAGCGAGATTAAGGGTAAAAGACACCAACTCAGATGCAGTTCAACTCGGTGATCGTGGAACCCCTCAAGGCTCGGTGATCTCTCCTGTCCTCTTCAGCCTGTGTATGACTGGCCTGTCCAGAAAACTGAGAAATATCAGCAACATTCACCACACCATCTATGCTGATGACTTTACCACATGGTGGACTGGTGGTGGTCAAGGGCAGGTACATGATGCACTTACAGAAACGGTGCAGACAGTGGAGAAATAGTTGAGGCCCACTGGTCTCAGGTGCTTTCTTCAAGAAAAGAGAAAGGAGGGAGACGTAATT